CCACCCACCAAGAAACAGAAAACTGAACCTAAGGTGAGTTATGTCTCTAGTGTGAACATGCTCTTTGCATGACAGACTTATTAAATAAGTAATTTATTAGCTAGAAACCCGCATGCTCCATGGCTTATCTGAATTTGTTTTCAATAAAAGTCCAATTTAATTTCAAAAAGTTAGCAACTATGATGAACGTTATCACTTCTTCCTAAATTGGGTTCTTATCCTAAGATACCTTACTTCACTACAAACATGATTACATTACTAAAGGCTGTCTATAAATACTGTAATAAGATAAATATGAACAACTAACAGAGCCATCAGTAGTTGTAAAAGATAAATCTCATATTACCTATTTTGCGTTGCATGTTGTTACATCGTGTTGTATTAATGTAATCACTGACGTCTTCTATCGTAACGTACACTTATCGAGAGGCCTTGATCTAGATTTTGATTTGTAAACAAGCGACTCGTCTGACACACGAGCACGAGGGCATTTCAATCAATGCTACTTTATCGATAACAATTTAATCGAACACTAATTGTCTCGATTGCTCTTATCGGCCGTGTATCCGATTGTTTTGGACTAGTGTATTTAATTGCCGGGGCTTAGGGCTGTTTGCGAGCTTGATTGAGTGCAAACTCTCGTGGGGTGTAATCCGCGCCTGTCGCCCGCAGCCCGCCGCATCGGTTCATTAAATCGACCGAACCCCCCGCTACCCTCGGCCCTCCCCTAACCACCTCACTCGCACCGAACGCTCGGCCGTAACAATAGCCGTCGTCGTATACAAATTAATGCTATTGTGGTTTCCGTGGCTAATAATAATAAACTTTGTCTGTTACGTCTATGCAAATGCATGCAAACTATTCGGATAAATGGACGTGTATCTAAACAGAATGTGTTTGATATATTATAGTATATTAATATCATGTTTTATGCCCTTTGTTGTTTCTATGAATGCACTATGTCCGTAATTATAATTTATGAGTATTCCAACTGAATACGTTCAACATTTTTTAATATCTGCTGAAACATCCTGTACATTCTAATGGCCTATATCCTAGAACTAATTAAATGCCTAGATAAATCATTCCATTATTCATTCAAAACATGATATTTTCTCCAGCTGATTTTATTCAATTTAATTAAAAAAAATAAGGGCCTATCCCACCACATTGAAAATAATCTAATAACAATCCAACGTGTAAAATATGTAATGGAAATATTTTGTTCCTTTATCTGACAGTGACGTAATTTATAAGCTATCAGTGCCTCTATCAGCCAGTGGTGGGACAGGCCCTAAATTATAAAGCTAGATTTTTGGTTTCAAAATGAAACATGTGTTAGAATATTATCTTTAGCATCAACTATGATAAAGTATTAAAAGAGATGTTAGAAAAAATCTTTGCAAAGGATAATTATTGCGATATCGACTATTGAATATTCTGCGTAGGGTGAAACTTAAATTGACGAAAACGAAGATAGAGGGTTCTCACCCTCTTCCTTGGTATTATTTTATAAGGGGAACGAAGTACAGCCTTCTAAAGTTATTTCATTCATCAATGTCGAGTGCTTTATAGAATTCCAAAATGCTTACGAAATCAATTTAATTTTCAAGTGCTGAATTTTTTAAAGCCTTTATGATTTAAACAAACGGTATCCTTTCAAGAATTCTTTTTCTACCCTTAGATGATTCGATGACTAGAAAAAAATACCCTTGTTGAAATATTATCATTGTCCGATTGTGTTAAAACTATCGTATTGCCTATTATTACAAATGCTTCCGATAGGGGTCGCACCCTTGTCAATAAAATGTTTTTCGATTATGAATGGTGATTACTTAATCCCGCAAAACGAATGAAATTAAATTCGTTCTATTAATTTGTGGTTGTTGGCAGTGAATCTAGTTTAGAAATGGAACTGGCGTTATGAAATTTGAAATATTAATTTCATTTTGCTTTATGATGCCCTATTTAAAGAGATTTTACTAATGTTATAAATGTGAAAGTTTAAATAGATTTTAGAGTGTAGATGGATTGCTGAACGAATCTTGATGAAAGGCATAGATATAGGATATATAAATTATAACACGGCTAACGTGAACGTGAACATTCGGTGTAGGTGCCTATGTAGTTGCCTACACCGAATGTTATCACGTGAGTTTAGCCGTGTTATCATTTATGTAGTATAATATCTCACGAAAGTTTTATAAGTTAAATGTAGGATATAGTCTGGAAGAAAACAGAACTTTTTTTTTAAATTCACGCGGACGGAATGGCGGGCGAAAGCTATATAACAGACTTCTGCTGTCAGTAATAAGATGGTTTTGTTTTACTTTTATCGTCGTTAAAAGACTTACTTATTCCTTTCTTTATAAATATTAGCATATAAAATTGCTTCTGAAAAGCTTGTTAAAGGAAACAATTTGAATTAACTTCGTGTATTTATCAGAAAAAAAAAACCTTAAAATTGTAATGTTATATTCAGTAATTACTTATTCAATGTTAAAAGTTCAACCAATGTTAATTGATTTCAACACGCTCGACCTTTTCGTGTTGTCGGTTTGAATTTTAACTATAATGACCTTTTTTATATTTTGATGAAATAAAAAAAACTGTTCTATTTTCAAAAAAGGTGTGAGACGTTCGTGCGTTCGAAGTTTTATGTATAACATGTTCACATCATCTCGAACGAGGTTAATAGCGCCCACCGTCGATTACACTGATCGCCGTGAATAAATTTCCATGTTAATAGGACTGGTGATCAGAATAAGGGCTGTCAAATTTCGATAAACGTAGACTTAAAATCTACTCTGAAAAAAAATTAGTGAACATTTCTGCCTTGAGTTTTTCGACGACGAAAAAAAGAAATGAGGTCTTTTTATACTTTGACCTGATCATGTAAATTATGCTTCGTGGAAATACCAAGAGGGTATTAGTGCCAGCCCTGTCAGTTCCTACTAGCCCGTATCGATGTATCAACCTATCACGCATCGAAAGTGCTCTTAGCTAATTGAATTAAGTATTCATGTTGATTTTTAATAGCTTCCATGAATATTCAAAACATTTTTTCCTTATAAACGATTTATGAGAAACGTAAGACTGGCTTTTGAAGTTTTTTTAGTTTTTTGACATATTTTGTTAATTGTATCACTAAACATAAAAAATGTTATTTTTATAAATGTTGTCTTTACTAACTGGATTTAAAAGTAAATTTATAGCATGTAGTGACATTAGGGGCTTTTATTACAAAGTACATCCTTCTAAACTCTAGGTTACCAGTGCTGTGTCAATTATTGTTGTCTGTTATTTTAAAGAGAATGTAAGTGATGGTATTTTGTGTCTATACAAGCGTTTTTGCAGTCGATACGCAAAATATACAATAAAAGCATAAATCTTAAAAGCATTTTATTCTTCACGATTCAATTCTCATAAATGTGATGGAAAGATATGTTATGATGTAAAAGCATGAGATATTAGTTTCTCGTCGACGTGTTTGATAAATTCAATTGAATTTTTCGCTCCGACAATATTTACATCGGAGAGCGGATGTATCATGTTACTGCCTCGAGCATCATTCATTTTACGAAACGAAAAACGACCACTGGAGCAACAAATTAAAAATATTTTAATTTAGTATATTCCCTACAATTGATAAGATAAATTGAATCTTGAATATCTCCCCTCATAGGGATGTAGCAATCGAACAGTGGCACAAATACCCCTCGATAATTATTATTTTAAACCTATCCACTTTTGTATCAGGGGTGGAAAAGTATACGAAATCAACTTTCCGTTTTAGAACAAAATTAGGATCATGCTCGTAGTAACTGAAAAGTTAATTAGTTACAAAGATTATATTACAAACTTAATCGTATAAGTTGTTTAATTTATCAATTACTAACATTTATTGAACTTAAGCACAAAATAAAAAACAGGTTTATAAATAGAAATATAAAATAGTTTATCTAATAATTCATTTTTAATTAACCTTTCAATCAATCGACAATAAAATAACATCATAAAAAGATAACGTGGACAATAAAATAAATAAAACATAATTAATCATTTATTAGAAGTAATAATTAATAAATAATCGTATATGATATGGCGTACCAGGGCAGCAGAAGGTGCAAGGAAATGGCACTCAGCTGCGGACTACTGTACACGTAATTACCAACATAATTAGGATGTGAGTCTGAACGGCCCGTGGCCCGCGGCGCAGACAGCCCACGTTATAACAAAATGCCATTATTATTTCCGCTTCTCATTATACTAGTTTCACACGTGGACTCAGAAGAGAGTAGAACAGTTTTGTACTGAACGGATACCGTCCAACTGAGCGTTTAAATAGCAGTACTGGGCTGTGTTCCTGCCTTATTCATTGTCTTCGTGTGAAATCATTATAGTCAGCGGCGTGTTACTGGCCTCGTTTATTATGTCAGTAACAATTGTTATGATAATAAATATTCATTCCTCGGCTGCAAATTGATTTCATGTTAATTGTACTAGATATAATACTGCGGGCTATCTCGTGTCTCGCCCGACCACGTTTATTCAAGACGCTCGTTTTTATAGTTGTTTGTTTGACGATGTGTTTATTATGTATATTCAAGTAATGCTTTGTTGTAAGGAATGAATAAAATGCATAATTAATTATCTGTCTGTGAGAATTGCTATAAACATAATTAACTAATGTTTTTTGAATTGAATTTGCACAGGTTATCGTATGTGTGTTTTTTACGAATTTATTTATGAAAAACTTCTTTTTTTTATGTACCAAGCTTAGTTATCTTTGTTCATTGAATATCAATGAGAATGTATTTTCATTAATTCTTTTCGTATCAACATAATGAAACTGTTCTCGCATAAATATTAATCAAAGTCAAACGATACACAGAGGTTCGCAAATTAAATTCATTATATCAAGATTGCATGTCGATACGAACGTGTTCACTCGACGCTTTAAAATCGTGTTTCGATCACTCACTCACTGAATACATATTTCTGAAGCGTATTTATTATAAAGCCATTTAAGTGGCGGCCCGGTCCCCGGGCGCAGTTGTGTATCGAGTCGGATCGTGGTTTTGACCGACCGAGTCGATCGATCAGTCTACTGTTCACTCTAACGACAGTTATACCGATCGATCTAATCGAGCATTGAGTCGGTCGTTCAGTCTGTCCCGCAAGTAATCCGCAGCTGTCGTATACCTGGCCGTGTCTTTGTTCGAGCGGAAAGTTTCGCAGCCAAACGTTGTCCGAATTGGATTTGTCGCAGTCGATGTTGTGCTCACACATTTGTATGCGTATGGGAATTAGTGCTGTTTGCCTGGTAATTGCTTTTATGCTCACTGGTGTAATTTAGTCTCCATTTAAGTCGTTTACGATTTAAATTCCATTTATTTTACTGACGATTAGCTTTTGTTCTTTTAAATACGTGGGTAAATTTTGTGTTTGTAAACGAGGTAATGGTAGACAGTCGTTTTTAATTCCGAAGGCACCGATGAATTACCTTATCCAAAACTGTGACAAAAATACCTCTAGCACTACTTAGTAAAGTTTCTCTTACCAAGAAAATAAATCAATTTGTTAAAAAAATTCAAGTCGTCAAAAAGGATAAATACGGCTTTTGTCGGTGCTCAGTAGCCCTAAATCTAATAACGGTCTCACAAAATAAGTTCAATGTTGTCAGAAAAGTAAAGCTGGAAGGAATCGTCGACGGATTAAGTCGAGCGACCAATCCGCGGACTAATAAAACCTTCTCAAATGCAATATAGGGGAGCTGGGGATCAAAAGCCGATTTTTTTGTAACATTTTTTCGTATAAGCCGCTATTTTGCCCTCTTTTGTGCCCGTGTTGTTTACTAATGGGTTCTGTTGGGTTCGACTTAAGATAATAACTCGAGGTTTTTTCTCGCCCATGTGTCGGCCGGAGTTTTTGCCGCCGGAAACCCGAGAATGCCGTTCACGAAG